CTGTAAAAGTGATTTTGGAGCCATCTGATTAATATTGGTAAATAAAGTGTGTTTTGATACTTGTTGTCGTTATTCACTCCAAATCTACGAATCCCGTACGAACGTGAAGGAAGCCGTAAAGAAAAATGCAACAATATAATTGAAACCAGACTCAGATTTAGCTTCATAGTCTCTGGTTTCAAACTTTTGATTTAGATCAAAGAATGTTAATATTTTTTTTTCCTTCATGAGATCTTTTAGCACATTGGCTCTTTATTAAATATTGTTAAAAATGGAATTTTATGATGTATTAAAATGTGGTGCAACATTTAGCAAATATACAAGGTGGTCAGAATTAAAACAGCCCTACTCTGAGCTCTCTGTACATTGAACTACTGTGTATAAAAGCTCCAAAATTGTTGAACATACTATTCAAGACATGGGGAAAGGGATTTTGTGTTAAAATTATTTCCAGAAACACCAATAGGTGGAGCTGTATTAAAGAAAATTTGCTGAAAAGAACACAAATAATCACAAAAAAAGTGTGGTATGGAATTTTTCTTTTTAAAATTCTATTGCTTATATGGAAAAAAAAGGGGGGGAGAAGCTAAAGAAAGGTGAAAAAACTTTAACCGTCATTGTAACTGTAATTTCGCACTGTAAGCACAAAAGTTTGCATAAACCCCTGGTTCGTAGCTAGTATTCTGGGCTTAAAACTGGAAATATGTCATTATTATCAGTGATGGCTGTTACGCTTGCCTGAATGCGCTTTGCTTGTGAAGTTGTTTTATGAAAACAAAGGAAATGCTGCAAGCTGCACTTCAAGAGTTTCGTTGACTTAAGAATTTATGCAAAAGACCATTACTTCCACAAGCTCTTGGAAAAATGATCGCTCGATTCAAGAAAACTGGAGATCTTAAGAGTTCAGCTGGGTCAAGGATGCAAATTGGCTTGTTCAGATGTCGTTGAAAATGCTGCTACCACTATTGTTGAACAATCAATGGCTAATGCTGTAGGCTATAGTAGCACACATGCAATGTCACGACACTGGGGTCCCTACACTACAGTGCATAACATATTGAGAAAAATAGTGCATTTTTACCCGTACAAAATCCGTCACAATCAGCAGTTGCAGCCCATCGACAGGGAGAAGCGACTGACTTTTGCACTGACATTTCTGCCTACAGTTGAAGAGGATGCATCATAGCCATGGCAGATTCTATGGAGCGATGAAGCACATTTGCATGTAAGTGGAACAATCAGCACCCATAACTTTCGCATTTGAGACACTGAAAACCCTCGTACCTTCCAAAAGATTCCACCTCACTCACCGAAAGCTACAGTCTGGTGTGGATTCACAGCAATATTCGTTCTTAGAGCTTTCTTTTTCGAAGAGACTACACGCAATGGTCTGTGATGTGTACCGTGACAGTCACGAGGTACCAAAACATGCTTGAAAATTTTGTTGTACCCCAAATGCAACAGTGCCAATGTCTTGATTCAATTACCTTCATGCAAGATGGAGCACCTCCTTACATTGGTCTCTGTGGTACAGCAGTTTCTTCGGCAACATTTCACTTTTGACAAAGTAAACAGTCATGCATTTCCCACAACCTAAACATCTCGTTTTGCTGATCTTAATCCCTGTGATTTTTGGTTGTGGGGTTACTTAAAAATCTTGTTTATCGATGACGTCTGCATCTATTAAAATATACTGAACTTGACCAAACTGATCCGATTTTACTAAAAAATTCTGTTTATGTATTGGTATGTTGACCATATTTCATTAATAACTATTTTTCTTTACTTAGTTTCCCTATACTGTCAGATCCGAAACAAAATTATTATTGCAAATTTAAAGACAAAAAATTTCGAGTGATGTAATACAGAGTGCCCACTAAAGTCCAGTACCACCCATTTAACTGCCGAACAGCTGCAACTATATTCATAAAATTGGTGGCTAGGTATAGTAAAAGTGGCTATGCGCTACTTGATAAGATAGCTTACAGCGCCACCTGGTGAAAAATGACGGAGTTAGCCTTCATCTTTGATTTAATAAGAGTAGATAACTTGTGGATATGAATACTAATAACAGAACGCTGAAAACGCACATTTGTTTCTTCACGATTTCTGAAATTGTGACGTCACGAAACTTGATTGAAAGGAGAAAGACTATGAGTTTCGGCTTCCCTGTTCCGAGTAACTAAATCTCACTACAGGTCGACTCTGCCTTCGGGCACGTCGTGGAGGTTCAACCTCCACTATTACCCTCCAGCAGAACCGCGCACCACCTGGATACGTCACCAGGCAGCACCGGTCGTAAATTGCTCCTGCCAGTCGCTCGGGCGAGCCCGTCGCAGCGGGACATTACCCAGCGACCCCGGGGGAAAACCCCACGGGTTACTAGCACCACGCCGCGCTAGGACGTGCCAGACTCTGAGGCCGGCCATTAAGTGACCTTTCCCAGAGCCTTCAGAACCACCAAGTTCATAAATTTTATACCCCCGTGGCCGAGACTGCCTAGGTACAGATCCTAGCCAGTAGCTTCGCAGAGTTCTCTACGTCGACCCCCGGGGGGGAAAGGAGAAAGGAGAAAGACTATCTTTCGGATGAAAAACACGCCTGTATTGCGGCACAGTGATGTCGCTTGTAATTCACAATTGAGAGGATTGTGTTCAAACCCTGCGGGGTACATCCTTGTATCGATTGTCTTTACAAACACAGTAGACAACATACAGATTGTGCACAATCATGTCGCAAAATGCATGAACTCAACACAACTTGAGCTTGGTGTGTGAATGTACGAAGAGCTTACAACTTGAGTTTGGTGTGTGATTATGCAAATAATGTACGAAGCTTCACACCTGTTCACTTGAGACAGCTATAAAAGAGATATTTCCTTATGGTTGTATGTTAAAGCTCATGGTCATGAAGCGATTTTCAAAAAATGATTATTGCGAGATGGTGAATGTGAGCTCAAGGCATGATCAGCAACATTTTCCTGCAGGCCTGCATCATTCATAGAAAAGTATCCAACTAGTTGTGAAACGTTTAAGGGACATGGGCTGCGTGACTAGCCAATTTTGATCTGGCAGATCAACTAAGGTAGGGTGGAAAGTGCAACCAGAAGGTGTCTTATCATACGACCTCACGTATCCAAATAGCAGCACAAGAGAGAGAAGTGAAAACTGTGGCCTCTCAAAAAAGTCACTTTTGTAAAATCCTAAATGAATTGGGTGCTCATCCATACCGACCAAAACCTAATCAGGCATTACTGGACGGGGATGCCGAGAGATGTTTTGTATGGTGCAACTTCGTCATGAACCAGATAGAGGTCCAGCCAACATTCTCGGCAGGTATAGCGTGGATGGATTAGGCATGCGTTTTGTGGAATGAAATATACAATAGACAGGACACCCATTATTGGGCACTGGAAAATTCATCATGTTCTGCCAATGTTTGACATCAAATACGATTTTCGATTAATGTTTGGCGAGATATTTATAATAGATTAATCGGCTGAATATTTTACCAGAGTCGTTAACGGACACACAATATTTAGAACTTCTGCAAGATGTAATACCCGATTTTGTTGAGAACCTGTCGTTGCTTTAACTCCTGAATGGATGGTTCCAACATCCATTCGCAAGTGAAGCAGTACCTGATGGAGGAAATCGAAGAACTAATAACTGGGCACGTTGGTTTCGAAGAGTGGCCTCCACATTCACCTGACCTGACTCCAATGGACATTTTCTTGTGTGGATACCTCAAACAGCAGGTGTATGCTACCCTCCATAAACATTGCAGGACCTTCAATGATGAATTACAGATGCTTGTGCAAACGTGGCACCCACTAATGCTACAGTGTGCAATATGAAGTTCTAACAAGGGTCCAAATGTGCATTTTACCTGATGTGGAGAGAAGTGCAAAACATCGAAAATAAAGATAGCTTGTGATAACTAATCATTTTTTTCTAAGATCATTTCGCTACGCCACAGTTTCGGAAATCGCGAACAAACGAATGCGCCTCTATAACGTTCATGTCCACGAGATGTCTTTTTGTGCTAAATCGACAATACTCTACAACTTTGAAATTCACTTTTTCTTCCTATCCCGTATCGTTTTCGAGATAGGAATGCTAACTCCGCCGCTTTCCACCTAGTGGCACTGAAAGCTATCTCATCTTAGTAGCATATACCACCCACTTTACTGCCGTTCGGCAGTTAAACATGTGGCACCAGATTTTAGTGGGCATCCTATGTAGTAATTGATTAAACATTATCTAAAGCAAGTAAGGGTATCATTTCAATAGTTGATTAATGAAATCCACATCAGGTTATTTCTTATATGAGTGTATCACCATTTTATATAGAATGATTTTATTAAATTATATGCAAAATATTTAAATTATTATTTCTCACATATTATGTATCATCCACTTCAAATGTGGTGTTTTGTCAGTATGTTTTTTGTTCTTTGAATCAAGATTTTTTGTTATATACAATATTTAAACTAAACAAGCCGTACAATTTTTAAATGCCAAAACTTTGCAGTTAGTTAATACATTACCATATTTTATGCATGTTTTCAAACCTTCTAATTTTAAGCATTTAAAATATTTAAATACTGTACTATGGAAAGATAGTTTATAGTAACCATTGAATGGCCCTTTTCGTTTTTTTTACTGAAACTTTCTCTATGGAAAGATAGTTTACAGTAACCGTTGAATGCCATTTTCATAGTTTTTTTACTGAAACTTTCTCTAAAATTCTGAATAAATTTACTTTTATTTTAAGAATATAGTATGAAAGACTTTCAGTTCTTATATATTTTTTAACAATGTGAATCACTGAATTTTCTTTATTAACCATTATTTTTTTCCTAGTTAAGAGGGATACATAACATTAGTGCTCTTTTTTATGACGTAGAAAAATTTTGTAAATAATATTAGATAATTTTATACATTGTTTTACGAAATTCCTAATATATATGTGTAATATAAAATAATTTTTAATTTCAGGCATCAATTGCTGGAATCCTGCTTTTGATGTAACACCTGCAGATTTAATTACTGGGGGTATTATAACAGAAATTGGTGTGTTTTCTGCCACTAAATTAAAAAATCATGTTAATCAATTATCAGCTTTTGAACTTTTAAATTAAAATGATAAGTACTCATTTTTATGTACTGCAATTGAAATATATCTCAAATATACAAGATTTGAAACAAGTTTACAACTTGTGTAGATGTGTATTTTCTAAATACATGCTCTCTCTATGGTTAATTAATTGTTAGCTTAATATTACATTTAACCTGTTCACTAAATTTTATCGTATAATCAGAAGCGATTGTAGTCTGGACATAGTCGAAATCCCAGATTTTTTACTTTTTGAAATCAGGAATTTTTGGATTTGTCAAATGTTCACTTATCATCTTTCTCAAATTTTGTTTTAGATAAAATATATCATTCAGAGATTACATAAGTTGAAAACTTAGATAATGTAAAACCCTTAACATCAGATACATTTAGAAAGTTGTATTGCACAAGAACAGAACTCATATTGTAACATTTTCGGCTAAGAGAAGATGGAAAAGAGAAATATCTAGTATTGATGAAACTGATTAAATTTGTTTTAACATGTTTCCACTGACTCGTCAAAAGTTCATGTAATTATATGACTGATAAGAACATCCTCAAACTCTGTCAGTCCAGTTGTAGAGCCTATAAAATATTATTCATTTTCATTACACAAATACATGTGAAGCCTTTAGAGCAAAAAAACTCTTTTTAAGACCCTATTGGTAAAGATTGTGGAGATAATTTATGAAATAACTGTACAGCCGATCAAAATTCTTTCTATTTCAATGGACCATTCTGTTCCTTCTAATAGTTCCTACAACACCTGCTGATATTACTTCAAGATCTAATCTAATACCTGAAGTTTTAAGTAAAAAGCCACTATTTGTATCAAAATGTCTCGCTGATCATACCGAACTTTTAAAATGTGAGGAAAGAAAAGTATAAACGCAGCAATTCCCCCTTCCCCCAAAAAACAAAGGAAGCTAAATTTCACAATTATTTGGAAAAATGTTGAGAAACTAAAAAAGTTGGTAACTGTGGGTAATGATATAATAAAAACAAATTATTTTTATTAAAAAAATTACTTCACTAATAAAATTGTTTGAAAATATTTGTGCCTAACTGTAGTATATGTAACCCATTAATATTCTGAATCATTTAAAATTGTGCTGGCTTTTTATTCCATGGTAATTTTTAGGATTTCTGAAATGGACTGCTTAATGTTTCATTTAGGTGATACGTCATAAGTGATGTTAAAAAAAATGGTGAGTTATGGAGCTAGACATTTAATAAATTACCTATATGGAAATAAGATTTGATATTTAATTAATACAGTAAAGAAAACTGAAAAAACATCTGCTGGCATTTGGCATCTTGAAGAAAGCAAAAGTACAGAAATTGACAAATCTTTTTAAAACTATTAGTCAGCCTGTACAGATTTGAAAGCTTTCTTTCTTAGATTTCTTTTCGATAAGGCAAGGAGGGATAGGGAATTTTGGTAAACATATATTGTTCTCATTGTAAAAATTCTAACAAGGTTAGTACACATTTCTTCACATGGAAATTAAGTACTTTTAAGGACCATTACTGAAAAAAATTAAGGACCTATGAGCAAATAGCAAATTAATAAATTCAATTAAAATATTATCTGTGCTTGAACTTCTTTTGTAATACCACGCAAAAAACAAAATAGATCCGTAAGTAGGATGCATTATTATTAAACATAAGTTAATTAACATAATTATTAATTACTTTAAGCATAAAATATACTTTATGAAATTTATCAGACAGCATTAAATATTTTAGACTTACAATAGTTCAGTATATTTTAAAGAAGATAAGTAACATTTTATTTACATTTTACTAATAGTTAGTTTCATGTTAATTTTTTTTATGTCTCATTACTTACTCAATCTAGAGGTTTAGTAAAAAGCAGGTAGATTTTATGTCAAGCATCATAGTTTAAAATTAGAAGTAAAATCATAATCAGAATGATTCATAACAAAAGACTGGCTGTTGTCACCGCTCCTGCTTGCCTAGAGAGAGACCTGCTGATCAGAACAAACCTGTAGGCACAGTTAGTAAGTTTTGAAAGTTAGCTGAGCTCTGTCTGACGTCGTTAGTGTCATAGCTTTGTGTAGAGTTCCAGGAGTTGTAACTCGGTTAATATACTTTAAGGTTCTATTAAGCCACTAAAGCACTAGAGGTGATAAGTTGCTTTTTATTTTAAATTTCACTAGATGCGAAGAATAAGTTTTACATGAATTTTTATATTTTTGTGTTCAAGTATCATTAAATATTTTACAATTATAATATAACTGAACATATTTGAAAGAAGATAAGTTACATTTTAGTTAAGTTTTACAAACAGCTTTTTTATTTTTAATGTCTAATTTTGTCACATACTTGTTCAATCTAGAGGTTTAGTTAATAGTAAGTAGATTTTGTGTCAAGCAGCATAGGTTAAAAAGAGCATTAAAATCATAATCAGCATGATTCATAACAAAAGACTGGCTGTTGTCACTGCTGCTCCTTACCTAGAGAGAGACCTGCTGATCAGAACAAAACTGAGAGGCCTAATGTGGGCACGGTTAGCTAGTTTTGAAAGTTAGTTGGGCTCTGTCTGTTGCGGTTAGCGTCGTAGCTCTCCGTGTAAAGTTCCAGGGGTTGTAACCAAGTTAATATACTTTAAGGTTCCAATAAGCCACTAAAGCACCAGAGGTGACGCTAAGTTGCTTTGTATTATTTTAGGTCTCACTAGATACTAAGAATAAGTTTTACATGAATTTTTACATTTTTGTGTTTAAACCTTGTGCCACGCTAAGGAATAATGAAAAGCAATAACTCACTTCATTATGCAGAGATAATTTTTAAGAGTAAGCAGTTAGTTATGAATTAAATTATGTAGTTAGAAAACCTTATGGATTTACATGATTACTATTAAATTTTACTTATTTTTTAACAATATTGTTAAAAGTCCGTATTAAAATCCCAATCTAATAAAATTTCACACTTTAAAATACATGCAATTTATGTCATAATATTAGGATAATTATACATTAAAAGCTACAAAACATTTATGTTTTGTAGCAACAACACTCAATAAAATATTTATACATCTTTTTAATTTGAAGCCTTCCCAGACATTTTGGCTTAATTTATATCAATTTTCTTCTCTTTAAACATCTTTCCTAACAATTAAAAATCTGTTTGAATACACAAACCAATGTTCTGACTAGTTTTTGCGTACTTTTATCTCCTAAGTTATCAACCTCTCCACAATGTACCTATGAGGGTTTAATTAATTTGGTAAAAGTTAAATAGTCCAAAAACTCCCGACAGACATGAAGCAAGTTATCGCTATGTCTCAAAGTAACTACAAAGTCAGATAAACATTTAAATAAGCCTCTTATTTAAAAAGAACTTAAAGGCATGTTCTTTAATTAAAAATTAACCAATTCAATTGCAGTTTGTGGTCATGTAATTAAACAAGAACAATCAAATTCAAACAAAAAAATGTGGACTAGAGGTCAAAGACTAAACAATTTAATTTTAATTTAAGCTGGCTCAGTAACTTTATCGTCATAACAAATTCAAATGTCAGCAGCGATAATGCAAGGACAAAAAGTTGCAAATTATCAGAGCTGGCAGGAACTAATGCAACGAGCAAGCGGAGATTAAAACACATTCTGTCTTGCAAACCAAAAACCTCAGTTTAAAAACTGCCTAAGCGATTTGCATTCTGGGGAGGAAATAGAAAAGAGAAATTATAATAAAGGCTGAAATTATAAACAACTGGGTAATTTACATCATAATACCTGTATATATATTTAAAGAATAATTTTCTTTCTCTGTATGTACTCAGTTTCTAAGCTGCTAATTTTATTTCTTTAGTAATATGAACATTCAGGAGAAATAGGAAATATATATGGCAAGGGCAGGTTACAGAGTTAGTGTGGCAGAATTTTTAGAATTTAGTGACACACCGAGCAACAAAATGTAGAAATGGCAAAACTTTTACAATTTAGAGCAGGCACTAGTCAGCAAAATTTAGGATCTATAGAGATAAGTTTAATATTCCATGTGATTGCACCAAGTGGGAAAATGCCTAGCATCAGACCTGTGTATGATGCATTAAGACATATTAGATGAATGTTTTAAATTGCCAGTTTTCAATTTCTTTGTTAATAAAAAAAATTCCTTTCTATAATGCCTGTCCATGTGATAAGATTAGAAGCATTTTTAATATTTTTCCTACTTGTGTCTAGTGAAAAGTAGAGAAAATAAAGGGAAGATAAGCATGTTAAGAAAAAGATTCTAGTATCAGAAGTAAAGCATTCAGATATTATGTTTTCATTGTTCTTCCAGATGGTCTCCAAAAAGTAAGAAACTCTCTGCAAAATACATCCATTATGTGTTAATACCATAGAGACATTTTTCATTTTCTCACAATTTTCTAAAATCTTCTGGAATGGTGGGTCTATAAATCTTGCTTTCAAATCCTTCTAAACTTTCCAAGTTGCAATGTCTAATGTCCGGAAGAAAAATTACGCCTACCAATTTTGTAACAACAAACAGCCAGAAATATTTTTTAAAAAAATGAGATGGAAAAAGTGTGAAATTAATTTTATAGAGAAAACTGATTCATATTCTGAGAATTCTGAACACTCTGAGACAATCACATGAGAAAAAACTCTTATCATGAAAATTAAAAAAAGACTTTTAATCAATATGTTATTTTTTAAATTTAATTTCAATATATTACCATAATTTTAATGATATTTATCAATGTTGGAATGTTTAAAAAAAAATCGTCGAAAAATTCTCAAACCATTGAAATTAAAATTTTCTATAGAAACTGATCTTAAAAATCGCCAAAATGTTGATAAGTCGCCAAATTTAGAGCCGTTCAATAAAAGAATTTCACATCCCCAAATGCAAAAAGTTGTTTAAGAGCTTTTCATTAGAAAAAGTGAAATAATTTCGAAATACTTGTTTCACTGCTTGCTCAGAAACTCTAGTATCCCACTATTTATATTAGAAATAGGAACAAATCATAACCCATTCAAATAACCATATTTATCAGTAAACCGTCAAAAATATACCTCCAAACTGCTAATTCACACTCAAATGGCAGTCGTAAAACAGACAGAATTTCACAGGATTAAAATAAGGACCTTCTGCCGATTTTGGCCAAAATTAAGGACTTTTAAGAACCAAAAATCGATTTCAAAAAACTTAAGGACTCTTAAGGACCGTACGAACTCTGTCTAATTGTACATTCATATTGTATGCTCCTTTAGAAATGACATATTAAAACATATAAACTATACTTAACAACAATTTTTCTATTTATTAGGAATACAATGCATTTTTTTAGCAGTCATTTATTAACAGATCACATACTTTTCAGCAGTTTTGTTGTTTCTAGAAGTACAATATATTGCAGCAGTTATACATCAACAGTTAATATTTAATTAATTTCTTTGCTTCAGTTACAAAAATAAAATATCTTTCTTATTCTGCTTTACGAGAACTTGGATTGGACTTCAGATGTACAATT